GGGACGCGGGGCTCCCCTGTCCGTGGAAATCGGGTACGGCCTCCCCCTAATAAAAACTTATTTCCAGACGGTGGAGTGTTTTAATTTCTTTCGTTTGGTGTTAACGGCGTTCCAGCGCTCTGCTAGTCGGCGGCAGAACATGGATGTGGAAACGCCAAGTGTCGGTCTAGTGCTCTGCTTCTGGCTTGTTGGCAATGGATTTAAAGATTTCGTTGTAATTTCAGTTCACGTATTATCTTTGCTCAGTTGCTTTAGAACTCGCTTAAACTGTATTTTCAATAGAGATGAGTGAACTTTAAAGAAAATCAGGTCAGGCATAGATTCCGGGCATCAAACCCTTTTCAGGTCCCAGAAATAGCCACAGAAGTAGCGTGACCAATTCCTTTTTCATGCACAAAGCTTTTTATTTTTGCTGGAATTTCTGACAGATACTGGGGCTCATTGACTGGATGTTTTCATCTTAGTTTATTGAAATAATCATGGTTTCTAAGCTTGCATTCTTATGCAATTATATTAGTCTCCCTTGACTATACAAGGTTTGAGTTTCTGACAGAGATTGTAGTTCTTGAAATAATAAAGTCTGTTTAGCACAACGTTTCTTTTTGCATTTTCAGGATATAGATCTATAAGAAGGTGAAAAGGAAGATCACTGTGAGGGAACGTGCACATTTGCTGTTATGGGGTAAAAAAATTGGGTATTAGTAAGAGAGGTTCAGAGAGAATGTTTTCTTTTTAATGCTCTGTACTTGAAACAAAAAGGTTCTTAAGTTATTGTATGTCTTATAAAGTCTTGAAACAAGAACTGACAAATATTTATCTTGCAGTAAATGGGTCAGATGATAACATCTTCCACTGGATCTCATAGTTCTGTATTGGACAGCTTTGGTTGCTAAGTAGCTATGAATTTCTAATCCCAAAGTAAATGATGTCATAATGACATCATCACGTCCTTTCACTTGATTGATTCTCATAAGAGAACAGTAATGAGATTTGATATACATGTCCCATCTCTTTAATATTCTTCCTCTGCTTCAGGGGATTTCCTGACCTGCCTGGCAAATTCCAGTGAATCACACTGAGCTCTAGTAAAAAGACGTTTCTTTTGGAGACGAGGTGGAACATTAAAGGGACAGTGGCTGATCCTGGTCTCTTCAAAACCTGAGGAACTTGGCAGCTTATGTTTTAAATGTGGAGATCTAGATATGAAGGGCAGTGATTTAAAACTTGGAGTTACTAAATTTGCGTGCAGGTGGGAAAGTGACTTGAATTTCGATGACACTCGGCTTGAGCTCTTCAAATTGACTTTAATTTGGTATCTGGAACTTCAGCACTTTTGAGGATCAAGTCACTTAATGTATGTGAATTTAAATAATTTAGGTGGGGCACAAGGAACAGGGAAAACATAAGCTGGTATCTTCCTTCAGTTGCCGAAATAAATTTCAGTCCTAATGGGAAGTGGGTGAAATCTGTCAGAAATTGCCATGTTAATACCATGTTAAGAATTGACAGCTCAATTTTTATTTTAACTTTTTCTAAATAGGTAGCGTAATTTAACCATTTATAAGTTGGAACCATTTTACTATCAACACTGGTGTCGTGGGGAACTCTTGAAAGAGAGCTCTAATTTTTTGGAGTTTACAGAATGTGTAAGAATTCAATGGTTTTTGTTCCTTCTGAGGTTAAAGGTATGGATGATGTCATTCATTGATGAGCAGCATGGACTACTAGTTTTTACAGTTTGTTTTTATCATGTGTGTGTTCATGTGAGCATGCATAAATTTTAGACAGTTGTTCTCATGATAAATAGTTGGTTTATGATTGTGAATTTCTTCATACCCAGTGAGTCTGAAGTATTCTAGACATGGCTGCGTGTATTTTATGTGTGTAAAGCTTACTATTTCCTATGCGTGTGGAAAAGCGAGAAATTAAGCCATTTTCATGTCTGCTTTATTGAACGTGTAGTTTTGTTCAGTAAAGTTAAAAACTGAATCTGTCTTTTGTAACATTCAGAGGCTGCACATGCCAATCTTGCTCGATTTGTGAATATATCGTGGGCTGCTAAAATGTGTTTCAAAAGTAAACAATGGTTTGTTAGCGTGGACGAGTTGGTGGTTAATGTATTTACTGAAGATACTGATTGCTGATGGGTTGCTTCTATTATTGCTAAAGTACTGCAGCATTGATGGCACTATTAAGTATAACAGAGTAGTAATTGAACATGAGGGTTGGGAACAAGCGAAGTGGGAAGGTGGTGGGGGAGGAGGTTTTTGACTCTATATTTGTATCTATTCACTATGTAAGTGCAATCCAAGCTACAGATGCCAAAAGGAAATTTCTAAATAATCTGTAAGAATTCTGCACTCATCATCCTATATGCAGTGACAAATTTCCACAAGCTTTAGATGCTTTCCGGGATGACTCAACTACGAACAAGTGATTTGGAAAAAAAATATTATCTCTGAAGAGAATTCTTGGTGACAATTTCTTTTCAAGTTATCTTAGGATTTTCTACTTACCATGATTTCTTCTAACTCGTGCTTGCGTTGAATGTTGGAAACGAAAAATGAATTTGGACTTGGGGACATATCTGTGCCTTTCAACTGCATGTTAGATGGTCATCTGTGACATTTGCATGGTTGTGCTTTTAATATGGTGACACATTTGGTTACATAAAATGCAGAAAGCCGTGCACCTCACAGCCTTTCCCAATGCTTGTAATGGGAGGTTGAAGCTGCAGCCCTGACCTCTTTGAACAGGCGATGACAGCACAGACGTGGCCAGATAGAGACAGACAGTGAACACTTTCACAGTCGTGACAGAGCTGACTTAAAAGACAAGGTCAGTTGTTGCAGCGGCTCAGGGAAACAACGGGCAAGGCAACAAAGTCTTTTGTTGTACAAATAGCAATAAGAAATGCAATTTTTAGATTTTTATTATCTACTGCAAGACTAAGCTGCGTTCAGGTCACGGGTGAATTATCTGGCTTGAAAAAAAACCCCCAGCTGATATGCTTCAGGACTTCTAGCGACTGAGATATTTTGTCCCCCTGCTTCCAGAAGCGTGTCCTTTGACTGTCAGTGTGAGGATAACCAGCGTTTCAGCCCCAGCTTCTGCTTTTCTCATAACCTCTGTATGAGAATAGAACGAAATGCCAAGTGGATTGTTGGATTTACTTTTTTTTTTTATTTAGATTTTAAAGGGGCATCTAGTATCTGTAACATCTGAGGTTTTCTCAGGCCACTTGTGTGAGCCTTTTGTAGGGGTGACACCGGCAGCTGGATATTTGAAATGTGTTTTGTTCAGTCAGATTGGAAGGTATCTACACCTGTATCTCCTTTACTGATGGAAAAAAAAATCTGAAAAATCTGCCAGTTGCATAAAAAGTACTATTTACAGAATCAGACAGGATTTGGTCCCTCATATAATAGGAAGTAAAATAATTAATTATAAAATATGTTTTTGTATACCCTCCTTTCTGCTAAGGAGGAATTTGAAGAACACTGTTGTTCAGAGTGTATCGTGAACAACAAACTAGGAAGTAAAATAATTATAAAATATGTTTTTGTATACCCTCCTTTCTGCTAAGGAGGAATTTGAAGAACACTGTTGTTCAGAGTGTATCGTGAACAACAGATTGTTACTCTCCAATAAGTCCTCTTTTACGTTTTTTTTAATTATTATTTTTGCACAACTGTATTTTGCAATAATTTTAATTGTTTAAGATCTGGCCACTGTACAAGCTTGTGAGCACAGAAGACACTGACCATGTCCACAATAGAGCTGATGTCATCTGCAGACCAAGGACTAAACGCTGCTGTCAGATGCAGTAGTGTAGCTGGAACAACATCAGCCTGAGAGGTCATTCTTTGGCTTTACCCCAAGGAAACAGACCCAAACCGTTCACATTCTGATATTTCCGCGTTGCTACTCTGATCAGACTTAAATGTGCAGAAAATGCCACTCTCTTCACAACAACTCTGCTTTGTATGGGGTGAGTGACAGCTCCTTGTTACAAGGAACCCTGTGGGTTCCAGGGGACCCACAAGGTCTAACAGGTACAAGTCCTTTGACTCCAGCTGTAATCGATGCCGTGCTTTGAGTAATCACTTTGGTGTGTCAGAAGTCCCTGTTTGTCTTACTCTGCAGGAATTCTCATGTGCCGCTGTTGTCTGCTAAAAAAAAAAAAAATCACAAACCAACACAACCCCCACAACAACAACAAAAAATCTCTAAAAGAAATAAAACCAAATCCAGATGTGGGCCTTACATGCTGGTAGCTAACACTAGCTATTAGATATGAAAAGGCTTTCTAATTAAGATTTAAATTAAGCATATTTACGTATCGATTGTTCCAAAATCACTTTTCTGCTCAAAATTATTTCTGAAAGTAAAAATAGAAGTTATTTAAGGATGATTAATAGAGCAATTTGTTAAGCTGGAAAATTCTGATTTTATTCCAGTTCTGATCTATGCATTTTAAAAGATGTGATGTGTCGTTAGGAAACTTAATGCTGACTTTATTCTAAGACAGTGCTTCAAACTAATCTTTGTGTAAATAGAATCTTTTCTGTGTAAAATAATTGTTGTTTTAATGTTTAATTGGAATGATGCTATAATGGAAAGCTTACAGTCAAGAATCAGTACTTTTCACACCAATTGTATTCATATGCTTATCAAGCAATGCCTACACCGTTGAAGTTCATTCTGTAACTTTACAAGATTGTGTAACAAAACTAAAATCTAGGGTAGAAGAAAGGAAGAAAAAGTGATGTTGGTGGTGAATAAATACATCACAAAATTTTCACTTAAATACATGCTTTCAGCTACCAATCAATGTATTCTTTTCAATACAAAGTAAAAGTTCACAAGTAAATCGTCCCAGTCTGAACTAGAATTCTGCTTGTGCAAGAAATTCTGATTTATTTTTTTTTAAACTATTTTCTTTTCCTTCTTCTGAATAGCTAAAACTAAGCTCGGGATGTAAACTGTTTTCCCAGGGAAGTTTGCTCAGCATTTTCATCACTTCTGAGTAGTGGGTGTTGGAGGGGAGGGGGAGAGTTTGCACAGCTTGTGTGATCCCCTTTCTTCTGAAACGTGACTTACGATATAGCCTCGAAGGCAAAGGGCACGTAGCACCAACTCTTCACCCATCTGAACCCTGGAATGAGTTAATTTGGGGGTTCTGCAATATAGCTCAAGGGAATGAGTTTGCTTGTTGGTTGTTTTTTGTTTGTTTGCTTCCTGGCTGAAATGTAGTGGAGACTCAGTCTGACTACTGATGCAGTGCTCAAAGAGAAAACGTTTTTCTCTATCTAGGTGATATTGCTATTTAATGTATCTCTTGATTTCAGGTGAGGGCAACTGTTTCCCCACTGTATGACTGTTTTCTCAGTGAAGCTGAGATGGAATGAGGGAGCTGTTTTAAAAACAAGTATCACAGGAATAAAACATGGCCTCCAGTTGTGGATACAACAAGGGGGGCACTGTTTAGTATTCTTCTCTTCCTCAATTGTTTTTAAAGGCTAATGAAAGCCTAAGGAGACACTCAGACAGTCACACTAGCACAAACCCCTATTATTGCTCAGCCTTGATGCTGGAAATTTTGCATGCTGCATCTTTGTTGCCTTCTGTAAATGCTACAAATAGCAGGAAGGGATAGATAAAATGACACAGATGCTTTAATTATGATTTGATTACAGAGCAACCAGAGGAGTCTATTCTGAGGAATATGCAATTAGAGAAAATTCTGAGGACTATCTAACCTTCCGAAATTAAAATTAACTGGGATTATTTGAACGGGGTTTTAACATTTCTGAAAGAATATAATTCCTCAAGGATCTTGCTGCTTGCGTGACAGATCCTCTCCAGCTCAGCAGATGGGTTTCAGGGTAACACAATGTCATCTTCCTCAGCTGCATCTACTGCTTTGCTTCACCTTGCAGCCCCATCTTGGTATCCTTTGCTGGTCACGTACAGGAGGGTGATGCAGAACCTGCGTTTGAACTAGAAGCAAGCAGCCATCCCTGGGTTGAAGCACCAAAAAAATGGAAGAGGAGTTTAAGCATTCCTGGATCATCTTTCCATATCTTCTCCGTGAAAACAAAGGCTTTTTTTCTATCTCACGAGCAAGAAAATTAAGAGTTGTGCAAACTGGCTATGCGGGTTCCAAAGGGAAGGCGTAGATGGAAAATTCCATGCCTTTTTCCTCTTGCAAACTATTTAATAGTGGAAAGCTATATGATTAAGTATGCTAAGCTTCTTTGTGGGCTTAATTTTACTTGAATTTAATTCCATTGATTTCACTAACTGTCAAACACGAGCAGAATTCAGAATCAGTCCCAGAGCTGAATAGCA